GAATCTCCTTCTAGGATCTTTTCCCGGTCCAGCCAGCGTATCCCCTTCTTCTCGCTCCTCACAGTTCGTTGTATGATCCAGTCGACCACAATCAGGAATATCATCGGTGATAGTAGGCAACCTTGTTTCACTCCTGTCTTCACTTCAAAAGCATCACTGAGCTGAGCCTTCCATTGTGAATTACTTGGCTGGCATGTGGCGTCTTCATATAGTTGTTGTTGAATGAGATTGTGGTATTCCGTAGTGTTGAAGCAGTTGCCTGCCAAATCACTTCTCGGTCGACGTTGTCGAAGACCTTATCAAAGTCGATAAAGTTGAGGTAGAGAGTTGACTGCCATTCTATACTCTGTTCTATGATGATGTGTAGTGTAGAGTTGCAATTTGGTCGGCACATGATTTGTACTTCCTGAATCCAGCCTGTTCCAGTCGTAGAAATCGACATCGAAGCATGCACAAATTTTTTTAAATGTTATACAGTGAGAAATATTTTTTTTCTTTAAAGTTAAATAAGTTGTAGTGGTTTTTAACTTATAGACTCATGATTGCTAAACAATGAACGAGTCACTAGTGACATACTCTTCCTCAATATCATTGAATAAACCCGAAAAATTCTCATTCAACTTAATAAGTTGTAACATTCCAAAACTATTTAGATTAGTTATTTCATTCATTGTATTGACTTTCAATTTTAACATTGGTAATTCAGTTATGCTTACCTCAATAGTTATCACTAACAACAATGAAACAATTTTGAACATGAGACTTTTCATCAGCTTCATATACACTTTCATTTGTAAAGTATATGGTAGGCAGAATCCTATTTAAGAGAACCGTTACCTGTTTATGTTTACAAATTCCCATAACCTTTTTGTTTATTAAACAATTTTTCAGTTTTTTTTCAAAGGTGTAACAATACATGAGGAGAGTTCAAACTTTTTTTTACATACTGTAAGAGATCGCAGATACGTACTGCTGAAGAAAGGGGAATATATAGTGGGAATTGTTTCCAAGACTTCCATTGATACATTGGCACCCTGAAAAATAATGAATTCATAATATTGAAATTTAAATCTTTTTAAAGATTGGTTCTTGTCACGTTGAAGAACCAACAAAGATCAAAGTTGACTGAACTCTTTAACAATAAACTCTGAATTGTAATGGTGAGCACGCTAACGTTGAGCTATGTGATAGCATTCCGGCTTTCAATGTTCCAAGTTGCTGCGCCTTGTATCAGCACATCAAGCTAGAAGGCACCAAGATGAAAAACGAAGAAGTAAGGAGGGAAGCATTCATCACCAGTTGACATCAGTCGCAGGAATATTGGAAACCTGCGAGCACTGAACAACTATTTCGTCCTAGTATGGAACTCCTCAACAGTGTGCACCTATGACCCCGCCCCGCTAGGGATCGGACCCAGGAACTTCAGGTTCCATGGTCAGCACGTTACCATCGAGTCACTTAGTCGGAATCCAATGATCCGTGAAAAGATGACAAAACGAGTGAAACAATGATGACGAATAAGATGAAGGTAGTGTGTGGATGCATCTACCTCATTGACATCGTTTCCAAACCATATCATCTGCATTTCGATTTTCACGCGGACCCTAGTCGAGTAGTCTACATCTCCCCATCTGACTCAAAACAGCAGTCAGAAACTTCATGAAATGATGACATGTTCTAGTTTTCGCTTTAAAGTGAACAAAAATGCATCAAATGATTACATCTTCAATCCTTTTCATTCTGTAGTGTTTATCACAATTCAAATGCAATGTTACTATAAGAAAATTGGCTTTCATAACCTTTTTAATAATAATTCAGTCTCTTCACATGCTTTTAGATTGCTTCGGTGTAGATCAAAGACGTAGAAGTGCTATAGAGGTGTAGCTATTCGTATTAGTACCAATTGGCTGAATTTCAAACTAAGTATGCTATAGCTTCTTCAGTGACAATATTGATCATACCATCCACTATCGTTAGATACCATCTTAAACACTTGAGTAAATATGATGCTATTCACGTAACAAACATTCATCTCACACTTAACTGTAGTTCCTTCGATGTTTCTGTCTCTTTTTGCTGATGAATTCATGGAATTTGTTGTACCTATTCTATTGAATTAGTTATCTTCTAATAGTTTGTAAAGATGTCGATTCTTGTGACTTCAGACTTCTTGCATCGCTTGGTTACGAAACTCTTGTGACCTCTACAGCTCGCTTGAACACCATATGAGACTTTGTGTGCCTAAATGGTTTTGGTATACATGAGGCCCCTAAAGGATATCCACTGTTAGGCTCTGAGCAATGTTTTATACTTGTCTTACCCAAAGCATGTAGTTAATTACACAGTTATTTTTTATACCTGTATAATAAAACTCAATCATCCAATATCCAGATAACTCAAACCAATAGTCAAAAGCTTCATGAAATAATGTCACGTTTCTATCTGGCCCCCACTAACCTTTTTCCAGCCTGAACTTAGTGCAACCGATATCTCACAATGGGGCAGATGATGACTAGGCATGCGTAAGACATGTCCCAGCCACTTGAGTCAATGGGAACTCACAACCTTACCAGCTGATTTTCCTCGTCTTCCCAGAACTATGCGCAGCATGACACACGACCTACTCTAGAAAAGTAATAGTGGTCAACCACCTAAAGCCTTACGTCCTTCATCTGGGGTCACCATGTTTTACAACTGAATATTAGAACACAGCCAACCCAGTGCAGTACATTCGACTCTTAATAAACAATTGGATGTCATGGCGGTGATGAAATCCAATTGACCCTTTTATATCCTTGGAGAGATATCAGCTCACGTGGGTTGATTCAACTTCTCAGGTAAGTGAAGTGGTCTACGCGCTCAACCATTTCATTCCGTTTTGTTAGACAGGACCCCAACGCAGACCAGTCATGAAGCAACAATTTGCATCTAGTCGATGAGAAACGCATCGCAAGCTTTGCATATTCACCCTATTAGCCGATTAAGAAAATAACCGTACCTGAGTCCTGTATACTTGTCTCATAAATACATCATACATACTTTGCTCGAGATACCTGAGTCGTGGCTAGCGAAACCTTTTGACTGTTTTGATGGAGGGCGCGACATTAAATGCTGCAATATGTAAGTAGCTTGGAGCGTGGTTTCAGGCAATCGGGGATGCTTTTTGGTGAACTGAAATCTTAATGAACAGCTGCAGAATTGGAAGAAATCATAGATGATGTAGAAATATTGGGCGAGAGATGTGAGAAAAACGTAGAAAACAGCTATATGGCATGTTGATAATGATGTGAGGAGACTTGTTTAGTAAGAGTCGTTGACACTTCGCGACTGCTCACATCATGAAAGGTTACCTTCTCTTGAGGTACCTGTAAGAGAAATAGGGTTAACAATAATGGTGCCTGAGAGCGGAGCCCAGAGGATATCTACTTGAGGCCTTTCACACTTGACCTCATGGTTTACACCTAATCATGAGTAACTTTATTCAATACGAATTCTTTATATTACGTTGAGAAACAATGATCTATAGGGATAAGTATTTTGGAAGTGACAATGAAATCCAACTGACGTCTACGATATTTACTTACCCTAACGGTAGGAATTGCCTTAAGTTTGCAATGACTTTTCACTGAATATCGTATCACTGATGCAACCTGAATGTTATATCATATGAAACTTTGAGATTTTGAAGTCATTCACTTCAGATATTTAAGATGCAGAGTCATAGGGATTACCGAACCAAGAAAAGATGACTTTCTAATACCCTCTGATTCGTAATACTTTTTTTTTAATATATGTCATTTTATGACGATTATCTTATCAAGTCTTCACTTCTTAAGTGTTTTGTTCATAATATGGTACTTTTCCTTCGAGTCTGTGGTTTCATTCACTTATTTCTTTTTACAACGACTTTCATCTTCATAATATATATATCTGGTTGTAACATTATAGCACAAACGATTAACTTTCTTCTAACTAGCGAATTTTTCTCACTTCACTATAAATTTACTCTATTTCACCTTACCGACTGGTTTCTATTCAGTGAATGCACTAAACTATGTTGAAACTGTACTTCAAGTTAGCATTCAAACATTATAGATTGTACACATATGATGTGAACCAACGAGATAAGGTGATAACACGTTTATTTCACTCATGTATTGTTTTTTTTTCCACTTCTCTCAACTCTTGTGACTTCTGTACTTTTTGCACTGTAGTTTGTTGTGTAAGATAAGCGAAAGTGATAATTGGAGATCTTTTAGGTGTAATATGGCTCAAGATATGTATTGACAATTGGTATTACTGAACATCTTCTTGTCACTTTCCCACTATCTTCTTAAGTGATATTATCATCTACCTCGAAGTACCATACTAGGGTAAGTTGTATTCTGTTGTAAGAAGGTTCAGGGTGACCTAACCAAGACTTGGGACCACTTGATCAAACTGTTGGTCTAAGTCGTGTGGAGGGATATAGACTACCTGGTTGAGATTCCCAAGACGAAAAGAACCAGTGGTTGGTGAACCTTGGTGATGGCTGAAAATCGGTCACAATGGTCCAGATGTATTCTACTCCTTGACATCTTCTAAAGCTTGGTTATTCGCACTAACCTTTATCCTCAGATTGTTTGTTCTCTCACAAAACTTTATCTTTTTTGATATCAATCTTATTCTTTGTGTACTACTGCAAAGTGTGACAACTTGAAGCGATGCAGTTATATCCTATGTTCTGCGTTGATTTTGTTAATCAGTCAGTCATTTGGTCTTAATATGCATCACTCGCTGTATACTAAAATTACTTGCCGAAAATCATTTACCTGTATTAACTGGTTTCGAAGTTCTTGTGAATATTATTTTATTTTCAGTCGTAAATACGAAAGTAGGTCATTACTTTATTTATTTATTATTTGTTTGTTTTTGTACAATTACTTTATGGTGCACAGACATTTATTCGATTATTTATTTGTTGATCTGTTTGTCTTAATATAATTTTTTTTCTACTCAAGCTCCTAACTGTCAAGTTTTAAATCCGAATACATCAATGAAACAATACTATTACAAGCATAAAATTAAACCATCACTATCTAAAACAACTAGTGATAATAATAATTCATCTCCATGTAGTACAACAGATGAATTTAGTTTTTCAAGTGAAAGTGATTTATCTAATGATGAATTGAATAACATTAGAAGTTCTCATGTGAATTTTGATCAACATTCAACTAAAAACACATATTCTTTGAGTCAATTGCTTAAACAGTGTACCCTTAGGACTAAGCTATATTCTTGTTGTTGTCGCTGCTGCTGCTGCTGCTGCTGCAGTGAACAGTCACTTACGTCTGCAAATCATCAAATATTGTTTCGTCAACGTCAAATGGAACGTCGTGAAAAGTTTAAAAAACGAAATAATTTATCACATTCAAAGTATAGACGACATTTTGTTGCAATGGTTGGTGATGGAGTCAATGATAGTCCTGCATTAGCTCAAGCTGATGTTGGTATTGCTATCGGTCGAGGTGCAGATGTCGCTGTGGAAGCTGCTGATGTAGTATTAATTCGTAATTCGTTGATTGATGTTGTCGGTGCTATTGATTTGTCAAAAACAACTGTACATCGGATACATTGTAATTTTATTGCTGCTACTCTATACAATTTGATTGGTATTCCAATAGCAGCCGGTGAGTTTTTTTTTTTTTTAGTGTACACAATTATATTTATCACCAAATTGTTCTTTAACTCAATTCTCTGAGTTATGTATAGTTACTTTTTTCAATGTATAGAGTGTTTGATTACTGGTATTTATTATTCCAGGAAGACTAGTTGTAATTGTCCGAATTAGTAGTCGGTAATTTTACACTTCAGTATTCTCTTTCAGTTTACTTTATGCGAACATCAATTCTACTTTTCATACGATCAGTATAGCATGTTTTAAAGTAAATATTGGTTGTGAAGGTTTGTTACGTTAACATAACAAATAAACCTGTATTTATTTGAATTGTATTTAATTCAACAGTTCCCAGTTATCGGTTCAGTTGACTATGCCTGGTGTTTTCCAGGTTATTGGCAATCACCTGCATAAAAATTCCTCACATGGCATACCTCTAGGATATATACATAAACATGTCATTTTCTATGTAGCTCGACAGAGTATGATTGTGAAATGATTGATAATATTTGTAGCTCAGATAGTCTTGGGTGTACTGTGTCCTCTGAGCTGGGTTGTTTAGTCATGGAGTTTTCATTGTCTTGCTAGACAATATCATAAGCACTAACTTCAGTATGGAGTGAGCTATCAATATCTTTCTGTGAGTGATTTAGTAGCTTGCTCTGACCAACTGGTTTGTGATTGGTTGTTTCCTTTGATTGTTGTCATTGGCTATAAAGATTTTCCTGTTTGTTGTTTCGCTGTTTCACCTCTGACCTTTCTATCGTTTATCATTTTTCTCATTGGTTGATAGATTGTATTTATGTCTATACATTTCTTCGCTGATATATGCCTTGTTCCTGTTAATGAATAAGTTGGTATATTTCGTCAGTCTATACATTTATTGATTGCTGACCGACTAGCCTGAATGTCAAGCTTCTAGGAATTCTCTGATATTTTTTGTTTCCTCTGTCCAAAATTTCTACACTGTCAAAATTGAATTCATATCCACATCATTATTCACGTGTATTGAAATGAGTGATGAAATGTCATAACGTTTAGTAGCCAATTGGTGTTCATGTAGACGAAGGTGAAGAGGGTGACCACTTTGTCTAATGTAGTGTTGACTACAATTATTACAGTTGATTTTGTAAATGATGTTCGCTTCGTCTTCTTTGGTTATCTCATACTTTGGTTTGCATAATAGTTTTTGGTTTGTGAGGCACACCAATTCGAAGTGGTTTACCTCAGTAATCTTGTCATGATTTCTGATATGTTCTTTATGTTATGGTAGGATGATGCGTTTATTGATTTCTGTCGATGACTTTGTAGTTGATGTTTGACAATATTTCATCTCTTATTCCAATGCACGTGGATATGAATTCAATTTTGACAGTGTAGAAATTTTGGACAGAGGAAACACAAAAAATATCAGAGAATTCCTAGAAGCTTGGCATTCACGTCAGTCAGTCAGCAATCAATAGATGTATAGACATAAACCATACAAAGGTCAGAGGTGAGACAGCGAAACAACAAACAGGAAAATCTTTATAGCCAATGACAACAATCAAAGGAAACAACCAATCACGAACCAGTTGGTCAGAGCAAGCTCACTCCATACTGAAGTTAGTGCTTATGATATTGTCTAGCAAGACAATGAAAACTCCATGACTAAACAACCCAGCTCAGAGAACATAATACAACCGAAAGAGTATGGTTGTAAACTAGTCATTGAAAGAACTACTGAATTTATGCTTAATAAGTGAAAAAGGCATGTGGAATACCTTCAGATTCCTTTATATCTCGTAACGTTCCCTTTGATATCATTTGATCTACTTTTTATTCAAGTGATTTCAAACGCTGTCATGCCAACTAGACGTGTACCATCTTAGTTTAACCAACTAAGCGATAGTATTTTGAATAAAGAAAAGCCTTTTTTGCTTTTTTTTTAGCTGATGATTAGTTGCCTTTTAAAGTCATTTATTATTATTATATTATTAGTCCCTTGGGTTCCTAATGGAACATAGGGCTTCGGTAGCACGTCTCCAGTGAACTCTGTTCTCTGAAATCTTTCAAACCTGTCTCCACGACAGCCCACAACCTCTCATTTCTTCCTCACACCATCTCCATGTCACCCTCAACTCGGACACCCAACTCGTCGCTTCCCAGGGGGATTCCACTCGAGTGACTGGCCTGACGCATGATGTCCCCAGTCAGCCTTCTCAGTGTATGCCCAATACATCTCCACTTCCTTCAACTGCATATTTGTTGGGTGACAGGTTATTGGTTGGTTCGTTGCCACGCCAGAGTGAGTTCCTTGTTGCTTATTCTTCCTGGCCATCTGAGCTTCAGTAACGAGCCAGTGTAGGGGGCAGTTGTTGATGAATGTCTGTAGTTTATTGGAAATCCCTTTCGTAATGCGCCAAGTCTCTGAACCATATAGGAGCACTGACTTGACGTTGGTGTTGAAAATCTGGATCTTTTTCCACATGCTGAGTGCAGAAGATCTCCACACTGGTTTCAGGCTAATGAACGCCTGTCTTGCTTTTCCGATTCTGACTTTGACATCCTCGTCTGTGCTTGCGTCGCCTGTAGTTGAAACAGTGCTTCCTACATAGGTGAAGGAGGTTACTTCCTTTAAGTTTCTCCCGTTCATGGTGATTGGAGTTTGTTGTTGGAGTTGTTGGTGCGGTATCTTCATCGCCTCTGTCTTCTCTATACTCACCTGAAGTCCCGTCTTCGCTGCCTCGCCTCTTCTGACAACTTGTTAGTTTTTGCCTGTAGGTCTTCAAGTTTGTGTGACATCAGGCACAAGTCATCGGCGAAATCCAGATCTTCTAGGTTCTTTCCCGCAGTCCAGCGTATCCCCCTCTTCTCGCTCCCCACTGTTTGCTATATGGTCCAGTCGACCACAATCAGGAATATCATGGGTGATAGTAGGCAATCTTGTTTCACTCCTGTCTTCACTTCAAAAGCATCACTGAGCTGAGCCTTCCATTGTGAATTTCTTGGCTGGCATGTGGCGTCTTCATATAGTTGTTGAATAAGATTGATAAAGGTTTGTGGTATTGCATATTGTTGAAGCAGTTTCCAAATTACCTCTCGGTCGACACTGTCAAAGTCCTTCTCAAAGTCGATAAAGTTGAGGTAGAGAGTTGACTGTCATTCTCTACTCTGTTGTATGATGATGCGAAGCGTTGCAGTTTGGTCCGCACATGATTTGTACTTACTGAAGCCTGCCTGTTCGGGTCGTAGTTTTGAATCCAGTGCATCTTTAAGCCTCTCCAGGATGATGCGGCTTAATATTTTGCTTGGGGTGGACAGGAGAGTGATTCCGCACCAGTTCTTCATTTAGTGTTCATATTTATTCCAGTATGGTGTTCCTTTTTCTTCAATCACGTTGAAATAATTAAGTTTCTTTACTTTGCTATTCGTTTTTTTGCCCGTGAAATAATTGAATCTAATTAGTTGTATGCCCGTAGTTGCTAGCATGGACTTTATTTGTGCAGTCTAGACGGTGTGAATACCTTTACCTCATACAAAATTTATTTGAATAATTTCATTTACATTCATATCAATAGCTTCATTTTGATTTTTGTGTTTTATTCTCGTTAGTTTTTTGATAGTTCATTTTTATATTCAAATCTCCATTCTTTCTTAATTCTAAATTTGACTGTTTTTAACTTTACACCTTTTTAGTCTATGAACTTCTTTGCTATGTCAGTAATATACTATTATTTCACGACACTATATAGCTTGTATATTGGTATTCTTGCTGTCTACAACATTGATCTGTTCACATCTTTACCTTAAGTGTAACATACTAATCTCTCCAAAGTTGTAGATACCTTTTTGCTATTGTGAGGCTAGAGAACAAATTTCCCTGCAAAGTTTACCTTTAATCATTCAATGCACAAGTACAATAAATGTTATAGTGTGGAATAAGATTATCAAAATCTTCATTATAAGCCGTATCTCCCTGAGTCTTTTTCCAACCAGGCATTTTGTTCCGAAGCATGTGAGTGAATGTATGAATATCAGATTGGTTGAAGAGACGAAAAATCAACTGGACATTAAAATCTGGAAAGGTCTGGAAATAGCCAAGATCATTATATATATATATATATATATATATATATATATATATATATATATATATATATATATATATATATATATATATATATATATTCCTGATTGTGGTCGACTGGACCATATAGCAAACAGTGGGGAGCGAGAAGAGGGGGATACGCTGGACTGCGGGAAAGAACCTAGAAGATCTGGATTTCGCCGATGACTTGTGCCTGATGTCACACAAACTTGAAGACCTACAGGCAAAAACTAACAAGTTGTCAGAAGAGGCGAGGCAGCGAAGACGGGACTTCAGGTGAGTATAGAGAAGACAGAGGCGATGAAGATACCGCACCAACAACTCCAACAACAAACTCCAATCACCATGAACGGGAGAAACTTAAAGGAAGTAACCTCCTTCACCTATGTAGGAAGCACTGTTTCAACTACAGGCGACGCAAGCACAGACGAGGATGTCAAAGTCAGAATCGGAAAAGCAAGACAGGCGTTCATTAGCCTGAAACCAGTGTGGAGATCTTCTGCACTCAGCATGTGGAAAAAGATCCAGATTTTCAACACCAACGTCAAGTCAGTGCTCCTATATGGTTCAGAGACTTGGCGCATTACGAAAGGGATTTCCAATAAACTACAGACATTCATCAACAACTGCCCCCTACACTGGTTCGTTACTGAAGCTCAGATGGCCAGGAAGAATAAGCAACAAGGAACTCACTCTGGCGTGGCAACGAACCAACCAATAACCTGTCACCCAACAAATATGCAGTTGAAGGAAGTGGAGATGTATTGGGCATACACTGAGAAGGCTGACTGGGGACATCATGCGTCAGGCCAGTCACTCGAGTGGAATCCCCCTGGGAAGCGACGAGTTGGGTGTCCGAGTTGAGGGTGACATGGAGATGGTGTGAGGAAGAAATGAGAGGTTGTGGGCTGTCGTGGAGACAG